GGAGAAGAACACTGAATTTTGATGAGTAGATCTCAAGGTGATGAAGTGACCAGACCAAAGCCACAAGGAAGTCTGGTCCCTGATGGTTCCAATATTTACAGAAGAACTCCTCATTTTTCAAGTATACATGTAACTGAGGCATGGAATATGACAAGCATGAACCAAGAGACACTTGAAATTCTTAAGGGAAAAATTAGTGTGCTAAATTGGATGTTTTAAGTAAAAGCAAACATAGATGCACCAGAATGGGCCATTTTAAGTTAGATGATTGCACAATATACTTACTATTCAGGACATAAGGCCATATGAAGAAATGGAATGGCAAAGATAAAATTAGATCGCTCCACTCCCAGCAACTGATGGACCCGGATGGGTTTCAGAGGGAGCTGGGGATTATTCCTGATGATCTGCTTCATGGTCTGGCTGAGTGCTTAGCCATTGCCTGGAATGAAAGGGCAGCCAAGGCTTTAGATCAGAGCATGCCCATGCAACCTCTCCCCTCTCATGGATCCCGTCACTCTCCATGGTTTACTTAGGGAGGAGCTTAGGGAGATGAAACGGTAGAAGAGATATCTAGAGCGTCAGTGACGGCTGACGTGGGATGAACTCGACTAACCATGGGTGAGAGCCGCTATTAAGGCCTGGCTTGTGGCGGTAAGGGCAGTGAAGCATCAATACTTCTCTGCCCTTATTGCGCCCACAGAAAGCCACCCAGAAGCCTTGTTTAAGGTGACCCAAGCCCTCCTGGGAAAGGAGAACTCAGGTTTACTTGCAAGGCCATGCAGAGGAATGTGCAGAGCATCTGATGGACAAAATCGCTCAGATTCATTCCAAGCTGGACTCCAGCATTAATACAGGTCCAGTAGAGGTGTCCAGGGCAGAGTCTTGCCCTGTTCTGGGAATGGTTTGATCCTATTGGGCCTGAGGAAGTGGACAGGGTCCTAGGGACTATGAGTTTAGCCACCTACTCCTTAGATCCATGCCCATCCTGGCTAGTTAAGTCTACCCAGAGGGTGTCATGTGGCTGAATCCTAGCAATGGTGAATTCTTCTATGACAGAGGGGGTTGTTCCATTGTTTCTTAAGAAGACAATGGTTTGCCCCCTCCTCAAGAAGCCATTGCTGGATCCAACTGTGCTGGACATTTTTGTCCAGTGTCTAACCTCCCTTTTTGGGGGAAGGTTGTGGAGAAGGTGGTTGCGCAGCAGCTTCAATGGGCTCTGGATGAAGTAGATTATTTGGACCCCTTTCAGTCAGGTTTCAGGCCTGGGTATGGGACGGAGACAGCATTGGTCACACTTTTGGATGATCTCTGCCAGGAGAGGGACAGGGGTTGTCCTGGCTCTTCTTGACCACTTGGCAGCTTTCAGTACCATTGACCATGGTATCCTTCTGGATCAGCTCCGTGGACTGGGAGTGGGTGGCACAGTATTGTGCTGGTTCACTTCCTTTCTGTGGGGTTGGCACCAGTCAGTGTTGGTTGGGAGTGGCAGATCCTGCCCTTGGCTTCTACTTTGTGGGGTTCCGCAGGGTTTGGTACTCTCTCCGCTCCTATTTAACATCTTTATGAAGCTGTTGGGTGAGATCATCCATTGCCAAGGGTTGAGGTATCATCAGTATGCTGATGATACCCAGTTATATATCTCCACCCCAGGCGAATTAAGTGATGCTGATGACATCTTGTCCCAGTGCCTGGAGGCTGTAGGGATCTGGATGGGGAACAACAGGCTTCAGCTGAACCCTAGCCAGACTGAGTGGCTCTGGGTTTTGGGGCCTTCTGGATCTGGGGTTTTACCACTTTTGGTTCTGGATGGGGTTGCACTGCCCAAGACAGACCTAGTGCCCAATATGGAGGTCCTTCTAGACTTGCGGCTCCTGCTCGAGGAGCAGGTGGCAGTCGTGGCTAGGAGGGCCTTTGCGCAACTTTATGTGTGCGCCAGTTGCGCCCTTTCCTGGACTATGAGGCTCTACTCACAGTTACTCATGCCCTGATCACCTCTGGAATGGATTGCTGTAATGCACTTTACATGGGGCTGCCCTTGAACAGTATCCAGAAGCTTCAGCTGATGCAGAATGTGGCTGCATGGACAGTTATGTGCACCCCTAGGATGGCATACATTATGTCTCCACGAGCTGCATTGGTTGCCAGTTTGCTTCTGGGTGCAATTCAAGGTGCTGGTTTTGACCTTTAAAGCCCTACATGTCAAGGGACCAGGTTATTTGAGGGACTGCCTCTTCCCAGTTATATCCACCTATCCCATCTGGTTGAGCAGGAGGGGTATGCTGCAGGTCCATCTACTAAGGAGTTACAACTGATGGGACCCGGGCAGTGTGCTGCTGTGGCCCCCGCCCTCTGGAACATCATTCCCCCCAAGGTGAGATTGGTCCCATCCCTACTTGCCTTCTAGAGAGCCCTCAACACAGTTTTTCTATCAACCTTGGGGGTCTCATGGTGAGCCCGCAAAATGTTTGTGTGATGTTACGTGACGGTTGTCTCTCCCACTATCTTGAGGGTTTTTTTCCCTGTTTTTGTTAGTGTTTTATGTTTATTGCTTTTTTATGTATTGTACACCACCCAGAGTCACATTTTGTGAGATGGCGGCTACATACATTTGTTAAATATATAAATAAATAAATAGGCAAGAAATATGCAAATTACTGAAGGACTGTGGGAATCCTCCTGCAGCCAACGTTCCTTCTTACAAAGGAAAATAGAGTCATTTATGGAGAGATGCCAAATGAATAGGTTGGTTTCAAAAAGACAGAGGGCACAAGATAAGATGAATAATAGAGAGTAAGAAAATATATGAAATTATATTTGCATTATTGACTGTGTGAATAAGTCATGCCAAAATTGTAGTATTTTAAGTTAAGTTAATGAGTATATTAGAATGCCTGATTACTTTTCTGAGGAATCTTTACATTGAATAGGAAGCAGCTATAAGAACTGAGTTGGGAGAAACAGTGTTTAGAACAGTTAAGGGAGTTAGAGGAAGCATGATGTCTCCACATTTGTTAAACCTGTAAAATGAATACAGTATATTAAAAGCAAGATTGACAAAGATGACAGCTGGAATCAACACTGAAGGGCAAACCAGAAACAACTTAAGATATTTTGGCAATGCCACTTGATTAGCCTGAAAGTAAATAAGTCTTGAAAAAGTGCATTGTGAAAGCAAACATGGGTTAATAGTAAATATTAAAAAGGCAACGCTAAGGTCAGCCTGCAGGCTAAGCAAACTTATAGTTTACCATGAAGAAATCAAGGTGCTAGATTAATTTTGTTTCTTAGGTTCAAGAATCCGTTAAGATGGACAGGGTGCTGTGAAAGTAAAGAGAAAATTCATCCTAGGAAGTAAGGCAATAAGACAAGAAGTGTAAGGATATTTCAATACAATGAGAGTAACAGAAGATCAGGATAGTTAAAGTGTGAAAGCTGAACTCTGAGAAAGGGTAAATCCACACAGCCTTCTTGCCCACTAATCATGTCCAAAAGCCACTGTCTGTACTCATCGCCTACCTGCAGGGGAGGTAGCCCAAGGATGTCTTTAGGAATTCCACCCTGGAAGTGGTATTTTCCTTCTGATCCCACCTCCAGACACTGGGTGGGCAATGCTGGCCATGTTGATGTGCATGAAATGATGCTATTTCTCAGTAAACTTGTGGCTTCGATCTCCTTGGCTGGGAGAAAGACCAGCAGTCTGGCTTCCACAGAAGCCACTTTTTTGCCTTTTTTAAATGGGTTGGCCCACCCAGAGAGTACAAGACCCTGAAACTGAATAGCCTGGTGTTGGCTCCAGGCATGTAATTGGAAGGGTAGCTTCTGCAGCCTGCCCAGCACAGAATTCTTTCCCCTGCTGCGGCTTCCAAGAGCCCTGCCTCCACACTTCCTTTCCTTGGGTCATGCTCCTAGGGAAGTTTATAGCCCCCATGCTGATCCTCACAGCTAGCCTCCTTTTTTCAAATTCCAGTTCTTCAGTAGCCCACACTGAGCAACTGCACAAATCCAGAGAACCACTTGATGGCAGCCAAAGATGATGGCATCTTTGCTGCCATCTAATGATCAATAGACTGAATGGCTAACTCATACTTTCAAAGATTTTTTTTAAAAAGTTCAATGGGTTGACAATATAACAGGAAAGAGAACAAAATGCAGTGCATGGAATAGCCAGAGTATGTTATATGCCTATAATCCATCTTTTCATGTGCTGGATTATGTTGGGCGGGGTTGGGACTTCAGATGAGGGAGACACCGATTGGGGCCCTTAGAAGGCTGCATGTTAAAGATGTGTGGAGAGCATCAGAGCACTAAGGGTGCATTGTGGACCCAGCAAAAGGTAGGGCAACATCATTTTCTTCTGGCTCAGGATGGGAGAGGAACACAACAAAGCAGCTCTGTGGATATAGCCCAAGAGAAAGAAGACAGATGCCTCCAAATTATGGATTTGGAGATGTTAGTAAGAATACTAAGAAGAACCAATCAATGGGTCCTAGATGAAATAAAGATTGACTGCTCCCTTGATGTGATGATTACTGGGCAGAAACTCACATACTTTGGGCTTGCAATGAGAGCAAGGGGGAGAGAAGAAAAGCAACTATACTTGGTAAGGCTGAGACAAGTAGAAGGAAAAGACAATAGATAAGGTGGATGGACGGGTCAAAGAGATTGTAGAGATGTCCTTGGAAGAAAAGGTGGATGCCAAGATGGCGGGTATCTGTCCATGCAGTCTCCAGGTTTTGAGTCTCTCTCAGTGGAAAACTAACTTGCAATTAATAAGTCATGAGTCATTACTCATTAACTATGAGGAATTTAAGGATCCTTCTCTCCAAACACACCCCAGATACACATGTAATCACTATTTGATAATCCCACAGCCTTCTTTGCAGAGACACTTGTGATATCCATCAGCATATTATATATGAAAGGCAAGGTCCTTGAACAAATTTAGTTCCTATTTCTGCTCTTTATTTCAAGGAGCTGTCATCATACAAGCAGCACCTGCATACCTACAACAACTAAGAATAAAAGATGTTCAAACAAACTTTATTTACCCAGATCTCATTCCACTGACAGGACAAACAGTTAAACACTGACAGCTGGACAGATGGAACCATGCTGATAGCCATGAGGACATGAAGTTTGAGCAATAACACAAAGCCAAGGAGCAGCACAACTCCACATTTTGTTATAGGCCACACAAGCAGTTCCTGCTCCTCAGATCTGCTCCTGCTGAGAGGCATCGGATGGTGGGACAGAACAGGAGTCCTGAGGAGCACAGCAAAATGGGACAGATTTAGAGGCAGGAAAAGCAATTCAGAAATCTCCACCATCAGCCTCTCAATCACCCGACAAAGTGAATATTTTGCATAAAAACTTACGTGACAGTAAATGTGCACTTGCTAAAGTATTTTCAATGATGATCACGTCAGACATTTTTTCTTGATATGAGCATCTGTATATCACAGGGAGGAGAGCAAAGACCACCTAGAAGCTTGCTTAGGTGGAACGTTCCACCCCACCCCATGCCGGGAATTACCACCCACTGTTGTCTGGGAAGGATCTCTGAAGCAAGAGGGAAGGAGGCAGGTCTCCCAAGGCTATTTCAGAAGCTTGCTCAGGTGGATTCTTTCATCCTCCTCAGAAGACCATTATAGTCACTTTCCTATGGAAAGGATCCTAGAAGTGTGCTTGTTTATTTATTTTTAATATGTATTTTTATTTAATACATAATTTATCACTTATAATTGTTTATACTGCTTTTTGTTATCCTGAAAAGCAGGATAATACATAACTATAATAAACCCATTTGTGGGTTTCACAAATGTCTGCTAGCATGGAAACCTGAAACATCACTCTCCTACGACTTATTAAATTCCTCCTCCCATATTCATTCTCCGATGGTTTTTGAATCCTTAAGCTGCCTTCTTAAGGACTATCCCAAATGCTCATAAGTTGCTCATCTAGATGCTGAAAAATTCTTCTTCAGAGCCAAGATGTGGCTCTTGTGTGCCTCCATTTTTGTCAGAATCACATGCCAAATTAAAAATAGATGCTTGAGACTTCTACAAAAGGCAAAGAAGTCAACCTTGGCACATGAACCTGTATCAGGCTGGAGATGAGCAGATTCTAATGACTTGATGACAAACATACCCTGGACTCATCTCTATCCGTCTCATTGGGCAATGACTTCTGGGGAGTGTGGATGGCCTGTAAAGAGAATCAAAACTGAGTGGATCAAGCAGCCTTGATTGACACTATGTGAATAAGTGCAAAACTTTCCCATCAAACTATACAGGATAATGGGGATAGCATCTTCCTATGCCAGCCAGCCCCAGCCTGGCATTCTCCAAAAGTGCTGGGATTGCAACTCTCAAAGGTTTGGGCCATGTTCCGGATGTTATTGAGGGCATCAAGTTGGAGAAGCTTCTATTGTACAGTTTTGTTTTGAAAATATGTTCTGGACTGCATTTCTGAATGCCCAATTGCTTTCAATTGCAGTATGTGACACGGCCATATTTTGTAAACCAATCTGAGATGTGATTGTATGGAAAGCAGCATCTGTCAAATAAATAAATAAGCAACCAAGCATATACAGATTCATCAGCTGCTACTGATTCTTTTTAACCGGAAACCCTTGCAGGCATGGATCCCAAACTGTTCTGAATCTGAGTGGGCAACCAGATGCTTGCGGACATCAATGTGCTCATAGGCCTCTCCCATAGCAGCAGCTATCTATCCCACCTGACTTAATTTTTCAAACGATTTTTAACTGAAAATGGAATCAAAAGGAAGCAAGCATGCTGCAAAGCAAAGCATAATTTTCAAGCACCATCTTTATTTCTAAGTGTGTCTCTTGACCCTGTGTAAACCCCACAGGCCTTTTGGCTCAATGGAAATGGTGAGCAGTTGCAGCTCATTCTAAGGTTTGAAAGTGCATTTCTACCTGTGCGAAAAGAAGGCAATGGTAAGCTGGGGTTATAGAAAGCACTCTGGGTAGCTAGAAGGTTTGATGGCTAGCTTTTTGCTAAATGGACATTTTTTTTTACTGGCCAGGCCCACCATGGAAGCCATTATATGACTGGGAAAATTCTTTCCATGGCAGCCACTTTGTGAAAATGGCTTTAAAATTTCCAAATGAGCCCACTGGCACAAAAGGCTTAGGTATGGCTGTGTTAAATGCAAAGCTTTGGATCCTTTCCATTCTTTGAGCTTCCCCCTCCCCAAAGAAGAGAGGTTCAGGGCCTCAAGGGACAGAGACTTACCATGTAATTCCTCACTTTGGCCTCTGACACCAGTGGCCACAGGCATCTCCCCCCTGGCCCAAAAGCAAATGGGTAGCCCAAAGGGGGCTGACTGCCCCACTGTCCTGACAAATAGGTCCTAGTTGCACAGGGTCAAGAGATACTGAGTTCAGGATCAGGGCTGTTGTCACTGATGGGGAGGAGAATGGCACAGCTTGAGTATAGTGTGCAAGACCACCAATCCAGCAGGCTCAGTTAACCCAGTTGCTGGGCTTGTTAACGGGTGTCATCCTTGCCAACTGAATCTGTGGACTCTGCACATCCCTTGGACCCAGCCAACCTCACCTGAAATTCTGCTTCTCTCTTGGCTTAATAGGTTCCCCCAGTGAAACATGCCTGCTTTCAGACAGCCAAAGGGCCACCTGTGAATCTCACCAGGCATGGCGGGCTCTTGGCCCAAGGGGACTGACTGGTACAGTTACCTTCTTGGCAGGCTGGATCTCCTCTGTGGATTTGGACTGAGCTTTCACTCCCGGCTTCTGAGGGGAGCTGGACTGCTCCTGGAGCACATCCCAGGGGGGAAATGTACTGTTAATAATGTCATCTTCCTGCGCTGAAATCTGCATAATGCCTGATTCAGTACAGCCACTTCTGAAAAGGTTGAGGACGTCATCACTGGTGTCCCTCTGCTGAAGCCACTTCTATACAGCCTGACTCTGCACCACTGCATAGGAATCATATTAGGAAAGGCTATCTTTGTGGGTCTACCCTATTTTTAGTTAATGGCCTAGAAAGTGAGAGATTCACACCATGCCCACATAATTCCAGGGTTCAGATGAATACCATAGTAACATAAAATCCTGCCACATGGAGCCATCTCCTAAGCCACACACAATACAAGTGAATAGGATTAGCAGCGTTGGCTTTACTGCACTGGAATTTCTCACGAAAGCTTGGGTTAGCATGGTCTCTCTTGAATTGCCATATAAGGTGACCTGCTGTAATGTGGCTCCTGACAAGCAGCCTTTCAGCTCAGTGTGAATGACAGCAGCAGTTAGGTACATGTAATCTCTAAGGTGACTTGCACAAACACATGTAGCATTACAGAGAACACTGGAGCACATCTCTCAGCTTGCACAATATTTAACTGGTGGACACCATGTCCAAACTGTGTCCTGAGTCCCAGGAACCCTGATCATTACATAAAGAAAATTGGGATATGACTAATGGTTCACATTTTGGAGGTATCTGAGGCAGCCTCTGCATGGAAACAATTGTATCATCTAGTAGATAGGAACTGAAGGCTGAAGAACTGTAGATGACTTGACAGAAAGTCCAACAAGTGGAACTCAACACTCCATTAGTCCTTGTCAGTGTCCTTGCTCCTATACTTAGCTGATTAAAATTTAGCAATGCAAGCTTCCTAGGCCATCCAACTGTAGTCCTAGTTTTCAAAGACAGCACCAATAAATTAATCTTATTTCTGTTTGATGCATGAAGTTTTAGCTCATCTAGCTCCAACATGGGAGAGGCTCCATGTCCTCATTATTTTTAAATTATTTTTTCTCTAAAGCTGTAAGGTTAGTATGCTGCGATGCAGAGCACCTTCTCTATTTCCAAAAACACCTCTGGATGACCGTAATTTTGGAGATGGCTGCATTTTAGATATGGCTGTTGCCTACTATGACATTTGGAAGCATGCTCAGAAAAAAAAATGGGGACAGCAAACAGCATTCTGGGAAAGGAGATGGAAAGCAAGGAAGTGACTTGCTTGTGTTACCTTTGATGGAATGTGTATTTGTGCTCTGTTTGTATCTGTTTAATTGGTTTGCTTGTTAAGTTTTCATATCTGCTGGTTTGTTTTATGGGTGTGTAGTTTTTCTTAAAATCACCAGTTTGCTTTCTGTGAACCATCTATGTGATTTGGCCACCTATGCCTTGTACTCAATTTCTTTGGCCAAGTTACTTGGCCAAGCTCAACATTTCCCTTTTATTAAATGCGCATTGGGAACAGAAAACAATTTAGTTTTTATGCTTTGGAGCTTAAAAGCTTAAGCCGACTGTTGGGTCAGCTGCAGTGTTAGATAGAAATACCTAGAACACTATCTGTATTCCAAATATGTCCATTAACCTAAAAATGTGGGAGGTCATATTTTACCTTGGTTGGCAATGGACTTTTAAAGCCCAAGGAAGTGATCTATGCCAACCCTCATGTGTGAGATCATATTTTACTAGTGACACTTGAGATTTAACCTAGGAACTTTGGCACGTTAATCACATTTACTCTTTCGCTGAGTTCAACTGCTTCCCAAATGCACTGAAACATGGAATTGATCCAATTATAATGGTTTTTGAACAAGACAGTAGCTCCCTAGTAGATTACACTGAGTAGGAGCATGTTACACAGCTAATGACAATAACCCATCTTTGGAAAAGACAACTGGGGATCTATCTTTTTAGATATAGCTTGTGGCATCAGTGAGACCTGATGAATATCTACAGTGTTGGCAATACAGGAGCAGTGGCTGTGATGGGAAGATTTATCCTGAAACATAATTTTAGGCCTCCCAAGTATCACATCTTTCCTGAAATACCTTTGAGTTCAGTTCCATGGCTCTTCCCTGGTAGATAATTTTAAGATCTCTCTCTGATCAGACAGAAAATTCTGCAAAGAAGAGGCAAACCATTGGAGACATCATCATTTTCCATGATCTATCTTGCTTTCAGGGACAGGCACAACGCACTTAGGAGGGGAATTAGCCTTGTGGCTAATTGGAATGTTAGCAGAAGAGGAAATAGAAATTAAACTGCCTATTTTCTCAGCCAACTTCTGTGCATTGTGAGTCTGGAGAATGCCATTTCCATACAACGGAAGTGCCACTTTAGGTAAGCTCACTCATAACACTTCAGTGCACAGCTCAGTGCTCATCACAAACCAGTTGTGCTGTGACTAAGACACCTTTTCTGTCACCTCTTGGAGAGTGAGGTTTGCCTTACATTGCCAAACCGGGTAATGGGGAAGACATAAAAGGAGACTTTTACTGCATATTCATATACATTATTCATCTGAACATGTACTTTTGTTTTAAAAGAAGGAACTGACCGCTTGCCAAGTAATAAGGTTGAGCTTTTAAAAAGCCACATTTAGTGTGTGACCCAGCCAGGAATCAGTCATGTATGTCCCATTGGTTTATAATATAAACATACATGCCATATTAATTTGTATGGGAAAGTTAAACACAGAGTTAGCTCCCAGTGGGGGGGGGGGGGAGGCTTAATTTTGATTAATATTTCTACCACTGTAAACTCTGCCGCCTTCTTTATCCACGAGTCTTTTAATTAAAAAAGAGGTTTTCATGACAGAATGGGAGGGAGGAAAACTTATTGATAGCAAGCCCTCAGTGGAAAATCAGAGAGAGAGAGGGAAGGAGGGAGGGAGGGAGAGAGAGAGAGACACTGCCCTATCTTTAGAGTGTTCAAATATGAGGAGGAACTTAAACAGGCTACTTAACCACCCATCATGCAGTTGCATGATTCCCTGGCTGGGAATATGTTTTGAAATCAAGCATCCAGTCGTTCAAAATACTGTCTTTTGGAGGGTCGTCATGATGGCATCAAGGCCGTGAATGCATCTCTAGGCCCTGCAGTTCTGCGCACGGCCTGACTCCTCAGGCAGAAGCTCGCTCGCTCCTACGTTCTTCCTCTTTCCCATTCGTTTTCTTCCTATGCCAACTGCTCCTACAGGAGCTTCCCTCTGTCAGTGCTGTTTGTGCCTGGGGATGGTGGTACGGTAGTTGCACCCCAACATCCGGACAGCCCCACCTGGGAAAGCTGCAACAGAAGGAAAAGTCTAAGTCTTCTTCCGTTGGCCGCGGGGAGGAGGAAGAATCGCGTTAGAAAGGGGCCGGACAGCAAGACCTCCACAGGGAAGCGAAACCCCACCGAGACACGGGGCTGTCCCGAGGCTCCCAGTAGCCCAGTAGTTAAATACAATCCAGTAATTAAGACGTCGGGCTAATGACAGCAGCACGGGACTCCATGATGCGGAACAGGGGTCCAGTCAACCAACCCGCCCGGCAGCAGGCAGCGCCGCTCTGGGTAACGAAGCCGCTTCGTGGACTCGTAACCTTGCCCCAAGCAGAAATCCCCGCCATCTGGGTGCCGCGGCGCCCCCTAGTGCTGAACTGCAGAAGCGTCAGCGCACTGGAGCTCTGCACTTTACAAACTCAGCGCCCCCTACCACGCAGCGCTCGGCTTGCACGGTGAGCGGTGCTAACTCTCGAGAGCACGAATGAATGGCCCTCCCCCTTACAAGCAAATGTGAGGCCCGCGGCAGCCATCCCACCCTTGCTTACC